CCATGTTGCTTCAGCTCTCAGCGTGCTGGCACACGATGCACTGCCCAGCACATGAGCCACCACGCCGTGTGCTTGCCCTCATCCCAGCCACCAGCATGCACCATGCAGCAGCACTGACCGGTTGAGGATGAGGACGAGGGCGGCAATGAAGGGGTCGAGCGTGTCCTTGCTCCTCTTTGTCACCAGCTCCGCCAGGAAGTTGAGTGCCGCTGTGCGCGCACTGTACATGTCCTCTATGATGTCTGGGGTTGGGGGGAGTGGAACAAGGGGAAGAAGAAATAAGGTGAAGTTGGTTGGGGAATGGAATGGGTACATGGAGTGAGGGACAGAATCAGGGAGGTGAATGGCGGGTTAGTTGGTTGGGAGTTGACATGAACAGCTTCATCTGTTTCTTCCTTACCCCTCCAATGCACCACAGTGCTCCCTCCCGTTCACTCACCACATCCCACCTCCCCTCTCCTCCCACACATGCCGTAACCTTGCGGACGTATTTGAGGGGACTGTTGGCCCACACAATCCCCTCTTCCCGCCCCTTCACCCACCGTAGCCTTTGCGGACGTATTCGAGGGGGTTATTAGCCCAGAGCAGTGCATCGCACCCCTGCCCCCCCATCCCCTTCCCTCTTCCCCACACACCGTACTCTCCCCTCCCCTACCCACCATATCCCTTGCGGACGTATTCGAGGGGGTTGTCGGCCCAGAGCAGGGCATCGTGGTCGTTGAAGCACAGCAGCGGGAACGCCACCTCGAACTGCAGCACCTGCAGATGCGGCTTCAGTGACTCGTACAGCGCCTTCTTTGACAGACTGGTGTCACGCACACATGCACACATGGGGACAGGCAGACGAGGGATGAGCGAGCTAGGCTGGTTATTGAGTGCGGACAATGGGAAGAACAATTTACGACAGTGGAAAGGCATGGGGCAACAAGAATGGGGCAACAAGAATGGGGCAACAAGAATGGGAGACCGTTGCGTGGCATGCTGTTGTTGCCAAATCCATGGCATCATGCAAGTGCACACGCATGCACGCACGCACACACACACACACACACACACACACACACACACACACACACACACATCCAACCACACACCCAACCACACCCGCACCCACACACGCACCTGTAGGTGACGTATTGCATGGCAAGGTTGGTGATGCGGTCGGGCAGGCTGTTGGGGTCGGTGCGCACGGGCGCCAGCAGGTGCAGGTACGAGTTCAGCAGGCGGCCAGCGCACTTGTCCGCGAACATGGTGGCGAACGCCTTGTCATCGCCCTTGGCGTACTTGGGATTGCCAAACCTGCGGGACAGGGACGAATGGGGGTGTGGTAACTTGTGAGGCAACCAAAACATGCGGGCAGCGCACTTATTGGCAAACATGGAGACGAACGCCCTGTCCTCGCCCGCCCTTGGCGTACTCGGGATTGCCAAACCTCTGGGAGCGTGGGGAATGGGTGAGTGCGGTTAACGACGTGAGAGCGTGTGGAATCGCAACTGATGACACGAGAGCCCCTCGCACATGCGGTTGATGTGCAACAGCCACTTCTTGACCTTTCCACCATGCCCGTAACCCCCACGCCCTTGCCCAGAACCTTCAACGCCCCCCCAGCATCCCTTGAAGGGCATCGCCAACACAGCATCCCACCCACCTGTGGAACATGCGGTTGATGATGTGCAGCAGCCACTTCTTCACCTTCCACCACGCCCACTGCTTGCGCTGCTCGGGGTCCGACGGCTGCCCTTCAGTGGGCACAGGCCGCTCCAGCAGCGCGTGGAAGCACTCCATCCACGCCAGGAACACCGCCTCCTGCTGCACCATCTCGGGCACCTTGAGCTGTTATTGGGGGATCGGGGTTGACAGCGGTGGTGGTATGAGGGAGGAACGGAAGCGGAGAGGGGAAGGGTGGGTTTAGCAGCGTGTAGAAGCATTCCATCCACGCCAGGAGCACGCCCTCCTGCCTCAGCGGCCATCAGGATGAGGGGTGGTGGGTTGGGGGAATGGGGAAATGGGAAGATGAAGAAACGGAATGATAGGGAGACGGAGAGATGGGGGGATGGGTATGGAAGGGACGTTAGAGGAGAGAGAAGGGGTAGCACCACAAGAGCGCGTACGCTCATCCGTTCACGCAGCATTGCTTAGAGTCGCATGCCCATTCACGCGGGTGGAGATGTGGCACTCACGTAGCAGGCGGACCAGAAGATCTTGAGCACGAGCTTGATGTACTCGGCAATATCGAGGGACGGGTTGGGCACGGCCAGCAGCTGCTGCAGAATGACCAGCAGCTGCGGGAAGGTGCTGGTTACCACCTCGTGCACGGGCACGCGGTCCTCCTCGTCCTTGAACCTGCACGCGCACGAGGAGCGGGGGGGTGTGGGGGACGGAGAATGAAAGGAGTGGATGGCGGATGGCGGGTGCGAGCACGGAAGAGAAAGGGCAGGGAAGGTACACGTGCCACGATTGCACGTACTCGTATTTGCGCGCGACCCATCACGCCCCATCACACGTACTCGTATTTCGGCGCGACCCATCACGCCCCATCACACGTACTCGTATTTGCGCGCGACCCATCACGCCCCATCACACGTACTCGTATTTGCGCGCGAGCACGCGGACGACGACGAGCGCGCCGTAGACGCGCGGCTGGTCGGGGCTGTGCAGGTTCGCGAGCGCCTGCTGCAGCAGCGCCGGCATGCGCTCGGGGTAGTCGCTCTGCACCACCGCCTTGAGCACCTCGATCAGCTGCGACCTGCGGGGGGTGCAGAGTGGGGGGAAGCGGCAGGGGGGAGAGTGGAGGGAGCGTGAATGGGTGTCAGGGGTGTCAGGTGAACGGGGGTAAAGGGTCCAATAAGCAATTGCAGATTCAAAATGATTACAGAAGGGTAGGGGTGAGAACACGAATCGAAGACGGGAATGCACGGGCAGCAAGCGATGCATGTGCAGCGCGGGAATGCGAGGGCAGGACGGCAGCGCACCTGATGAGCGGCGGGCAGCAGATGACGGCCTCCACGAGGTTGTCCCGCACCGCCGCCACGTCACCCTCCGAGAACAGCGGCGAACCTGCCGGGATCGCCGGGGATGGAACGCGCACACTTTTAATGAAACGCTCAGCAGGCTACGAGAATCATATCACCCGCCAATGGCATCCTATACCATCCGCCCACCCCGATCCCATCCCTCGCCCTCGTCGAACAAGTATAGCCTCATCCGTTATGGCACTCGAGTACCACCTGCTTCGATATAAGACGGTGCGCTTGGTTCCTTCCGCGTGAACTATCCCATCGTCTGCTCATCTCACAGAGCCGCATTCTCAAATTCTTTGTCAGGCACTGACTAGAACAATTAGCTTATAACGAGGCGACGACTCACCTGAAGAAGCGGCCTCGGTAGCGTCGGATTTGGTTCTCCAGTTGCGCGACACGGTGTTCTTGAAGTGAATAGCCGCCACCTGGCGGATCGCGAGGTCCACGTCAGCACGCACGACCATCTGCAGCAGCGCCACGAGATGCCCCGGCACGAACTGATTCTGCCGATTCGGAACGAGGACGGGGGGAGCAAGGAGATGACGAAAGAAGTTAGTTAGGCGTCGCCTGAGATTGCGACAATGCGCGAACGCAGCGGCGGTTTGAACGGTTTCCGTCGACGGGGCAAATTCCTCGTTGTCGAGCAATGCTCGTGCTCCTCGATCATGCTTGCGTTCGGTCAAGCAAGTGGGATATAATGAAGCGAAACCCGGAGTTTTGGAACGCAAGAATATACGAATTCAGCTAGCTAAGTTGTGAGAAAGGACAACTATCGATTTGCTAAGAAAGGATGCACAGACGGGATGATATACGGACATGATGATCTACGGACAGAATGATTCACCGAAGGGATGATCTACAAACGGGATGATCTACGAAAGGGATGATTTACGGACGGGATGATCTACGGACGGGATAAACTACGAGCGGGATAATCTACATAAGAAATGATCTACGAACGGGAAGATTTACAGACGGACCTGCACGAGGTGAGCCTCGCCGGCCTTGCGCTCCTCGGGATTGGCGCTGAGGGCCTGCTGCAGCACGCCGGACAGCTGCGCTAAATCCATGGCGGCGATATGCACGAAACACGCGGAGCAGACGAAAGTTGCGGACCCGCGCACGGGCAGACGAGGCTAGAGCGGGCTAGAATCTTGCAGGAGTAGAGATGCAACGCGTGCTGGCCTCGAGCTTGCCAAGGCAAAGAGAGCGCAACAGCGGAATTCTCGAGGAATTTATTGTGAGGTTGCGGTGGGGGAAGACTCAGAAGTGATGGTTCTTGGGGGATGGACGGGATGGTGTGGGATGGGATGGGTCACGGATTCACGGGTGTCAGGCATCCATGCTGTGATGTGCTGTGCAACCACCTGTGAGATTCGCCCGAGAAGGGAATGAGTTCCCAAGAAGAGCCTGACGGGTTCAGGGTTCAGGGTTTATTTCGTGGAAAACTAGTGGCCCATGTGTGTCGCACACAGCGAGGCGGCGTGGGGTTGAGGGTGCCGTGGCGACAGTCTACGACCGTTGCAACAGATCTCACTAATGCTGCTCCAGTAACGGGGATGGCAAGTTGTTCTCCTGATATGGCTATTTGTGAACTTATACGTTACATGATGAATACTTAATATCTAACCCCATGTGAACAGGTGTACCGCAGGAAGTGCCAATCCGCCCTACATGCTCAGGATGGGTCACAGGGCAGTTTCCCTAACAAACACGAGCCCAAAACGTACGGTTATCAGGCCTGGTGGCACATGACCAGGCAAACCCTGGAAGTTAGTACATGCACCAAAATAACACCAGCGGATGCCCTCCCAGTCTCAGCTTCGGTGCTGGATTACAGCCAGGCATCAATCCCTCATCCGAGTCTCTACAGGGAAGCGCTGCAATGGGAAGCCGCAACGAGAAACAACTTCATGCCTCGAGATGCTTCACACCAAGAGCGACACACTGAGAACCACATTCACTTCACGCCTCACTGCTTCATGCAAGAGCAGCGACGGGCTCCTCAGCAGCAGGCGCCTTGGCTTCTGGCGAGTTGGCTTCGCTGGGCGGCACGAGCTGCCAGAAGAGCGGCAGGAACTTGTCCCAATCCGCCAGGATGGCGGCCGCCTTGGCACTGCCCGTCAGATCCTGCTCAGCACACAGAGATGGTGGGAGGAGGAGATGCATGTGAGTGGGGAAAGTAGGGATACTTGTTCTAACACAATTACACCTTGCATGATGCCTTTGCCCTGCAATAAGGGCGACAGAGAAACAAGGACGAGTGCAGGCACGGTGAGAGAGTCGGTGTGAGTGGGTGCAGAGAGAGCGTACCGCATGGTCCTGGATGAGCGACTTGAGCTGCTGCTGGCCCCCTGGTGACACCACTCTCTGCATCGCCACAATCTCCCGGTTCACCTGAGGAATCACATCGATGTAACCAGCCAGATACAGCAAGGTTAGGAAGATAAATGCAGTAGAAATTCCTGATGTGAAGAGAAGTAAATAGATGTGACGGGGGGACAGTCGAGACAGAGATATCACCCACATTAAAACAGAAGGGGACGGGAGACGAGGTGGCAATAATAGGTAAGGAAGAGTGGGCAACGGACCTTGGGGGAGAAGGTGTCGTCCTCATCCAGGAAGTACCCGATGCCTCCCGTCATGCCCGCTGCTACATTGCGCCCCACCCTGTGGAACGCCGAGGGGAAAAAGGGGCCAGGGAGAGAGAGACAAGCGGTGAGGCCCAAACTCAACCCGTGATTCTCAATCCCCTAACCAAGGTGCCAGCCACCATGCACTCACAGCAGTGGCGAGCGGGTTAAGATATTTGGTCAATGCCTCATGCCCCCCCATGTCACTGCTCTCCCGTGTCCCAAATCCCTCGATCCCCCAACCCGCCAGCTGGGACTCACTTGCCAAGCGCCACAACAGTGCCGCCAGTCATGTACTCGCAGCAGTGGTCACCGGCGCCCTCCAGCACGGCATACACTTTGTAGTTGCGCACTGCAAAGCCTTTGAGTCGTTTCAAAACACTAGCACTCACTTGCCAAGGGCCACGACGGTGCCGCCAGTCATGTACTCGCAGCAGTGGTCACCGGCGCCCTCCAGCACGGCCTGCGCATTGGAGTTGCGCACAGCGAAGCGCTCCCCCGCACACCCGCGCACAAACAGCCGCCCGCCCGTGGCGCCGTAGAGACACGTGTTGCCGATGATGGTGGCTGTCTCTGCCTGGAAGGTCGCTGCCTTGGACGGCACCACCACGATCTGCCCCCCCGCCATGCCCTGTGAGGCATCAGGTGAGGTGTGGGGGGAGGGAGATGGGACAAGAAAGGATGTACGGATGAGGAAAAGGGTGATGAACGGCAGAAAGAAAGAGGTTTCTGCCGTAAGTGCTGTGCAGAGAGGTGCTGCAGTTCTGGTGGCAAGGTGTCTCCGTTGTTTATAGTACCTTGCCCACGTAGTCGTTGGCCTCGCCGATGAGCCGAATGTTCATCCCGCCTGCCAGGAAGCACCCAAACGACTGCCCTGCGCTGCCCTTGAACCTGCAGAAAGGAATACCATGGGGAAGGGAAAGAAGAGTGTGGAAGAACGTGGGTCTTGATCCGGACAAGGTATATGTGGAGTGGCAAAATGTGAGCCAAATGTGAGCCCGCACAAACAGAGAATATGAGGGTTGGCCTGCTCCAAAAGGTATATCTAGTGCACCCATATTGCAGGGAGGGCGAAGAACATCAGAGGCGAAGGATGATGCAGACGGGAGTGGGGGAGCGGGGGAGCAGTGGGAGGCTCACGTGATGTTGACGGCACCAGTGAAGCCCGAGTCCCCATGGCGCTTGGCAATGGCGCCCGCCACGCGGCCACACGTGGAGCGGTCCGTGTTGACTATGGGCGTGGCCAGCTGCACCACCTTGTTCTGCTCTATGGCCGCCATCACCTGCTCGTCGGCACACAGGGGACACACGTTGGGCGCACAGGGGAGCACAAGGGGCAGGGCGGGCAGGAAAGGGAAACAGAGTGAAGGTCAGTGAGCAGCCTGTGTTGACTATGGGCGTGGCCAGCTGCACCACCTTGTTCTGCTCTATGGCCGCCATTACCTGCACACGGGGAGAAGAGCGAGGGCTTGCGATTAGCAAAACAATGTTCAGAGCAAGCAATGTCGACAGATACATGATGCATGTATGTCATACGGATGTAGGGAGGGAGGCCAGCGAGTTGCAATCACGTGGGGGGTGTATCATGTATGTATAGGAAAGGTGGGCATATGTTGGGGGTGGGGGTGCAACGCACGGTGGGGTTGGCGAGGAGGGTGTCGTCCAGCATGGGCCCGTTGGAGTGCACCTCCTGTGCCATGCGCTCCGTGCTGCTTGCTGATGACACCCCGGGGTACTGCCATGTGCGCGCAGACGAGAGGAGGAATGGGTAGACAGTGAGGGGGGGGGGGGGGGGGGGGGGGAGGGGGGGGAAGGGGGGTTTGAGAACACGTGTTGGAGTGCACCTCCTGTGCCATGCACGCTGAGCTGCTCGCCGATGACACCCCGGGGTACTGGTGGGGCGCCGTGGCATGGGGGAGAGGTGGGGCGAGACGAGGGAGGGCCGGTGTTGATGTTGTTAGTGAGGATGGAGGAATAATGGATTCTGTAGGCGCATGCAATGTACATGGCGATGTAGCATAGCAGTGAGGACATTGGGAACCAATGGCATGCATGCATGCATGCACAGGTGGAGGACAGGCCCATGGTGTGAGGGGCAAGGAGCAGCGTGCATGGCTGAGAGGGTGTGCAGGGGTGGCCGATGTGCATGCAGAGGCGAGGGGCAGCTTACGGTGAGGAGGTAGGAGAGGTCGATGGAGTTGGTCTTAGCGAGTGCCACATCCCTGGCCTTGAGTGCGTTCACTCGCCCCACCAGCTCGTCCAGACTCTTCATGCCCAGTGATGCCAGCCCAACCCGCACCTGCAATGCGCGGGGAGGAGAGAGATGGGTTTCAAAGGGCGGAGGTGGACGAGTGAGGAGGGGAGGCGGCCAACTAGCAGGGAACTGATGAGGGAATACCGACGGAAGGGGAAAGGGGGGAGGGATATGTGCAGGGTGGTCCAAACTCATCGTGCTTTTAAAAGGGAGGAGGAGAGACCAAGCACAAGCAGGAGAGGGAGAAAAAGGGAGAGGGAGAGGGCGAGGGAGAGGGAGAGGGCGAGGGAGTGGAACGGCAATGACCTCCTCTGCAACGAAGACAAAGTAGTTGACCAGGTCTGACGGCACCCCTGGGAAGCGCGCCCTCAGCTCCTCCCTCTGGCACACACACACACACACACACACACACACACACACACACACACACGCACGCACACACACACACACACACACATACACACACACACACATGTGCATGGTTGCAGGGGGAAGAGAGGCACCGGGGCACACACGGAGAAAGAGGCTAAGTGGAAAAGAGAAGCGAGAGCGGAAACAAGATGAGGGACACACGGAGTTGATAGAAAAGGTATTGGGCGGTTGCTTAGAGCCAACAAACAGTATGCCCAGAACCAGCATTTCTAGCAAGAGACGCCAGCTGAAAGTGACGGTGGGTACCTGAGAAGCAACCCCCACAGGGCAGTTGTTGGTGTGGCAGATGCGAGCCATGATGCACCCCGTGGCGATCATGGCGAGCGACCCAAAGCCAAACTCGTCAGCGCCCATGGCAGCCGCCACGAGCACGTCCGTGCCGCACTTGATGCCCCCGTCCACCCTCAGCACCACACGGTCCCTCAGCCCGTTGGCGAGAAGTGTCTGGAAGCGAGGTGAGACGGAAAGAGAGAGAAGTAGAGGGGGAAAAGAATTGAGGTGAAGAGTAGAGCACGGTGCAAAACGACCGTGTAAAGCGCGACACTCCTAAGACTGGCGTGTTTCACAGAATGCATTCCCTGCCATATGCGTTTCCCACTGCAGTGCCCCATCATCGCACCTGGTGCGTCTCAGTGAGACCCATCTCCCAGGGCCCGCCAGCATGCTTGATGGAGCTGATGGGGCTGGCGCCCGTGCCGCCATCATGCCCCGAGATCTGGATGATGTCCGCATTCGCCTTGGCCACTCCGCTCGCCACTGTTCCGATGCCCGCCTCCGCCACCAGCTTCACTGACACCTTCGCCGCTGGGTTCACCTGGGTGGGTGGCAGGGGTTAAAAGGACATGGGGAGGAAATGCAATAAGCTTTGGGTGCAATCAAAGAAATGCCCGCCTCCGCCACCAGCTTCACTGACACCTTCGTCACTGGGTTCACCTGGAGTGACAGGGGTTTGGAAGGAGATAAATCAGGCAGCATTAAGGGGAGGGCAAGTTGGTGGGATCCGCTTCATTCGCATGCATGGCTGATGGTGTCTGTGAACATGACATGCTTTTTGACAGTAATGCGGCGCACACCCACAACCTAAGAGCACAGTCGAAGCTAGGCTCACCTGGTGGAGGTCGAAGATGAGCTGAGCAAGGTCTTCAATGGAGTAGATGTCATGGTGGGGCGGGGGCGAGATGAGTGGCACGCCCGGCTTGGAGCTCCGGAGCTGGGCAATGTAGGGCGACACCTTCTTGCCCGGCAGCTGCCCGCCCTCGCCCGGCTTCGCCCCCTGCGCCACCTTGATCTCCAGCTGCTCCGCATTCGCCAGGAACGTCGGCGTCACGCCAAACCGCCCCGACGCCACCTGCTTGATCGCACTCGTCGCCTTGTCGCCGTTCCTCAACCCCTTGAGATGGGGGAAGGTGGGCGACCGCCCGTCTGCATCTACATCCTCCAGCTCCACCCATCTCATCGGGTCCTCTCCGCCCTCACCCGAGTTGCTCTTCCCGCCCAGCCGGTTCATCGCGACCGCGATCACCTCGTGGCACTCCCTGGAAATGGCGCCCAGAGACATGCCTCCGGTGCAGAACCGCGTGGCGATCGACGCCGCCGACTCGACCTCCTCCAGGGGAATCGCCGTGCGGCTGGCAGTGTCGAGCTCGAGCAGGTCACGGAGGACGTTGACGGGGCGCGTGGCGAGGTGGGCCTGGTAGGCGGAGTAGGCGGTCTGCTCCCCCTGGCGCACGGCCTTGTGCAGCAGCTTGCTCATCTCGGGGTTGTTGCTGTGGTACTCGCCGCCCTGCCTCACCTGCAGGAACCCCATGTTCTCCAGCTTCCCCTTGCCCTCCGCGCCAAACCCCTTCGCCCAGAATGTCAGACTCTCGTTTGCGAGCTGTGGAAACCATGGGGACAGGAGGGAGGGAAGACAGGGTGTTATGATGAGTCTTGCTGAACAGCCAGACCTTGTGTCCACAGCATTGCATGGCACAAGGGTGGTATTCGTGATGTGAAAGCAAGAAATGGAAGGGAGAGGAAGCAACGCCCTGCAGCCCTCACCTCGTCGAGAGTGAGTCCGCCAATGCGGGAGACGGAGCCCTTGAAGGCGCGGTCCACGACCGGGGCGCCGAGCCCGTAGATCTCAAAGATCTGCGCGCCACAGTAGCTCGACAGCAGCGATATGCCCATCTTGGACAGAATCTTCATCAGCCCCTTCTCTATCGCCTGCAGTGATGGGAAGCACAGGGAGATGGGGAATACAGTAAGCTCCAACTCAGCTTGTGGCTGTCAAAGATTCATTCGCCTGCAAACAGGAATGAGCAATGAGCCCGCCTTGCAGTAACAGAACAAGCAGCAACGGACGCACCTTGCGGTAGTTGAGCTGCGCCTGCTCCGAGGTGACCGTGGGCAGCTTGCCAAACGTCATGAGCTTCTGCGTCTTCTCACTCGCCCGCCACTGCCGCACCGTCTCCAGGGCGCCGTACGCACACACAGCACTGGCACCATACCCCACCAGGCACGCAAAGTGGTGAGTGCTGAAGCACTGCGCCGTCTCCACCACTATCGACGCATTCAGGCGCTTCCCAGTGCGGATCAAATGGTGGTGCACGGCGCCCACGGCCAATAGCGCCGGGATCGCCGGCCGGGTGGCGTCGAGCTGGTCGGCGTTGTCCGACAGCACTAGCAGCTGCGCTCCAGAGTCAACAGCAGCATCAGCAGCAGCACAGAGGGCGTCGAGGCCGCGGGAGAGGGCGCCTTCCACGCCCTGGGAGACGTCGAAGAAGATGGGCAGGCGCGCTGCTGCGAGCTGCTTGTCGTCCATGAGCTCCTGCATCTCCGCCTCGTTGAGCACTGGCGAGGTGAGACGCACCTGGGGGTAGTAAGGATTGGAAGAGAAGGGGAGGAAGTGGAAATGCACGGTGAGAGAGAACAGGTTGGAGTGATGATGCTGCTGCTGCTATACGCCTGGAAGGTCCACCTAGTGAGCCCAGCAGCACCACATCAACATCATACCACCATCTCCCAACCTAGTTCACAAGCATGTGGCGAGCCAACAGACATGGTATGTGACAAGACCCCTCACTCCACCGCAACCCAATATCCCTCCCCTCCACACCCCTAGCAGTGCACGCACCACGTTGGCGTGCTCAGCGCCCACATCCAGGATGTTGTCTCGCCGCCCCAGCGCTATCTCCAGTGACATCACCAGGCCCTCTCGCAGAGGGTCGATGGCCGGGTTCGTCACCTGCAGGGACGAGGGGAGTGTGGTGGCGGGGAGTGGCAGCAAGGGACGTGAGTACAAGGTGCAAATTGGGCCAGCTTGGGAGCCATGCATGCAATCTCCAGCGACATCACCAGACCCTCTCGCAGGGGGTCGATGGCCGGGTTTGTCACCTTCAGGGGCCATGTCCGAGGGGGATTGGGAGTTGTTAACTTCAGTGCAAGGTGACATGGTGCAATTTCACCCAGGTTGAGAGCCTTCACAGGGTGGTGGGAATGGGGGGGCATCACTACAACGGATATGGGTGAAACTACAACAGAACTGGCGAAGCCGTGAGAGTGTGGCGTCAGCACAACGGACCTGGGCAAAGCGCTGCTTGAAGTAGCTGAAGAGCAGGTGGGGGCGCGCGGAGAGCACGGGGAGCGGCGTGTCGTCGCCCATGCAGAAGGTGGGCTCGATGGCCTGCGCTGCCATGCTCTCTATCACCATCACCACGTCCTCACTCGAATACCCGTACGCACTGGAGGGGGTTTGCGGTGGTGGGGGATGGTAAAGGATAGCCTGGTGGTTAGTGTAAAGGATTGATGGGCTTCGGTTGGGAGATGGGAGCGGGATAGGGGGAGGGTAACAGAGACGTGGGAAGACGGCACATGCTGGCGATGAGGCAAGCGGCGTGTTGTCGCCCGGGAGCTTGGGGGTTGGTGGAGAAGGGCCGATGGGTTTGCATTGGGAGGTGGGAGCGGGATAGGGGGTGGGGAGCAACGGACATGTGGAAAGATGGCCCAGGGTGGCGAGGCGAGTCATATGAGGGACAACCATCAAAAAGAGAGAGGAGGCATGTTAGAGAACAGGAGGGGGACGGGTGGACAGCAGGGGGGCGTGTGAATAGCTGGGTGGGGGCATTCGATGTGGGGTGTGCGGGGGAGGGTGGGGAAAGGGAGGAATGGGAAGGGGGGGAAGAGGGGGATGGGCTCACTTTTGCCTGCGGAGCACTTCGTCAGGGGAGAGGGCTGGCTCAGCAGCGAATGGCATGGGGACGATCTGACGTGACTGGTGGCACACAGAGACCAGCACAGGGGCGAGCGGGTGGGGGTAAAGGGGGAAACGGGGAAGGGGGGATAATTGCGAGCAGAGAGAAACGGGGAAAGGAAAGGATAGAATAGGGAACAGAGAGAGAAGCTTGATGCTCGATGGACACGTGATCCGGGCTGGATATGGTTGTAAACATAACACCATCAACTACCGGGCCAGCTCGGACTCTCTAGCACGCCATCACATGCGCCCAAACCCCAAACGCACTGACCTCCTTATCGAGCCACTCCTTGAAGGGGTGTGCGTTCGCCACCTGCCGCTTGATGGCCGTGTTGGATAGCACCTGGGAACGAAATGGGGAGGGGGGGAAGGAGGTGCAGGGGCAGGGGGAATATTAGAGAAAGAAGGGGGGCCGAGAATGTGAGTCAGGCTGCCACATACCTCTTGCAAGCAATGCTTGGTTCAGCACACCACACCACAGCACACCACAACACAGCACAGCACAGCAGGTCTCTCACCTCGCCGGTGTGCAGGTCGACGGAGATCATCATGCCTGGCCCCAGGCGGCCCTTGCTCACGATGGTCGCCTCGTCCATGTTCAACACTCCCACCTGCCGAGAGGAGGTGAGGGGGCGAAGGGGAGACGGGGAAGGGGTGGGGAGTGAGCAGAGTGGTAACACATGGTAAGTGTGATGTGCAGGACGCACCCATTCGACTCGTCCATGCTTAGCATGCCCACTCACCACTCATTCCAGGCAGGGAGGAGGGGAAGGGGAGAAAGAAGGCCAAGGCGGCAACACAGTCAGAAATGCCAAGGGCTTTGGTGTAATGAGGGGCAAGTGAACACGAGGGTGCAATAGGGAGCTGCAAGGACTCAAGGAGCACACGAGGGTGGGGGCAGGGGACACACCTCAGAGGCGACGTAGAGCATGTCGTCGTTGGTCCTCCAGTACCTCGCCGGGCGCAGCCCGTTGCGATCCAGACACGCTCCCACTGTCCTCCCGTTGCTGCAGATCACAAGGAGTGGGTGGACGAGATGGGAGAGAGACATAATAGCGCAGTTTGGCATCAGGGTTGGGTACAAACTGGACGCTGATGTGTCGGTGTGAGAAACTATCCGGTTTGGAAACCATGCAGCAGGGGAATGGGGAGACGCAGGCACACATGAGGCGGGGTTACCTGAAGACGAGCAGGGCAGGTCCATCCCACGCCTCCATCTGCGACTTGTAGTACTCGTAGAAACTCACCACCTGTTGAAAGAAAGCGTGTGTGGCATACGGGGGAACGGAGTTTAGTGTATTTTTGTTCTCTTCTTGCCTCTATTATGACGAATTATGGCACAGCAACGAGAAAGCGACCTAGCTTGGCTTGAGGCACTACGCCCATCTGGGTCTGCACGCTCTTCAAACAAAGTACAAGGGGAAATGCGTGTGAGATGACATGACATGAGTGGAGACACGTACCTCGGGGTACTTGGCGGAGAGCGTGGGGTGGTTCTGGTAGGCCTCAGGCACGAGCATCATCAGCACCTCCTCCGGCCGCCTGCCACTGTTCAGCAGCAGCTGCGGTCCACGGGAGGCAGGGAGTGGGGGAGGGAGGGAGAGCGGGAGGGAGGGAGGAAAGGGGAAGGCAGAGATAAGGGCATAGCGGAAGTGGGAGAGGTGGGATGATGGCGTAGGGGAATAGGCTGAGTGACGAATATTGATGGATAAGTGGTAGTGCAATTCTGGTAACTTCTTGCAGTAACACCTTCTCAACCATGCGTTTCACCCAAACAAAGACCCCCTGTACCCAGATGTTCTTCTCTCCAGCACCACCACTCCATCCACCCACCATGGCCCCTCACCTCAGCAACACCGTCCAGATTAGCCGAGTCAGACGCAGCGAGATTAACCACGGGGAAGATATCCGCCTCACGGCCGCGCCACACGGGCGACGTGAGCGTGGGCTCGCGCGAAACCATCCAATTCAGGTTCCCCTGCAGCGTGTTGATCTCGCCGTTGTGCCCCAGGAACCGCATGGGCTGCGCCAGCAGCCACTTGGGCGTCGTGTTGGTACTAAACCGCCTGTGGTAGATGGCAAACGGGCTGCGGAACAGCTCGTTCTTCAGGTCCGCGTAAAACGCCCCCACCACCGCCGCGCGCAGCATGCCCTTGTAGATGATCGTCTTGCTGGACAGCGAGCAGAAGTACAGGTCGTTCAACGGATGCTCTGTTGTTGGCACCCCCGCGGCTGCTGCCTCTGCTGCGATGGTGCGTGTGACAGCCTTCTCGATGAGCTTTCGGAGGATGTAGAGCTCGCGCTCCGTGTCGTCCGGGGCGAGGCCTGGCACGGAGAGCACGAGCTGCTGGATGGCGGGGAGCGTGACGCGCGCGAAGGGGCCCACCACGGCCTCGTTCACTGGCACCTGGCGCCACCCCACCACCTGCAGCCCGTGCCCCTCCTCCTTGATCACTGCCTCCACCACTGGGACGGGCACAAGGGGCGAGACGGGATGCGGGAAGGAGTGTGAAGGATGAGGCTATAAGTGGCAGGAAGTTCGACTAAGCACTGTCCCCACGGCCTCGTTGACTGGCACCTGGCGCCACCCCACCACCTCCAGCCCGTGCCCCTCCTCCTTGATCACTGCCTCCACCACTGGGAGGAGGATGGACGGTGACGGGCGCAAGGGGCGAGACGCGGCGAGAAATGTGAGACGGTACGTCTAGAGTCGGAGAAGAGTGAGGCAATTGGTGGCAGTTCGACTAAACCCTGAACCCTGGAGTGACTGACCTGTTCACTGCTCACTTCCGCCATTTGTAATCGCGTTCTACTTCATAAAATTTGTACTTTTAACGCTTCTACTACTTTGCATGTTCATCCCCTTTCGTTCTTCCACTGTCGCCTGAAGTCCTACTCTCCTGCACGCGTCGCAACACTCCGAGCCTTACTTGCTCCCTGGCAGACAGCTTCGCGACAGCTAATTCCTCCAACGACGCTTCATACAGTAATTCATGCACGGGTCAGTTACTTCGCCTCGCGCATCGACTGGCCTCCAGCATGCACTGAGCCCGCCGTGGCGTGTTGTATTCCTCCCTATAACACATTCATTTTTTTCATTTTATTTTTCCAAGCCTCTATGCGATTAAAGGCTCACGTTTCTTGGCGGTCTCGGCGTCGCTCTCCTTCTTCGGCAGGAACACCATGCCCACGCCCGTCGCGGCGCGGTCGAGCGGGCCGCGGCCGTTCTCCTGCTGCCAGCTGTCGAGGAGATCCCAAGGCACGGCCGTCATGAGCCCCGCGCCGTCGCCCGAGTCGTTGTCGGCGCTGCACCCGCCGCGATGCTCCATGCACCCCAGCGCCGTCAGGCCCTGCGCGGGAGCGCGTACGGGAAGGGAAAAAGGGATAACTGTTGAACTAGTGTCGGCGTTACAGCCTACTCATTGCTGACAGAATGCGAGCAGGGAAGCGCACGACCATTGTAAAAGTGGATGACGGCGCCGCATGCAGACCCGGACGAGGAGAGGTGGGGACGAGGAGGTAAAAGGAATTCAGAGCTTTTAGTGAAGGGTGTCGACGGCGAAACAGGCGAGAAACACGGGAAGGTGAACACGGAAACATGAAGAATGAACTTCGCATTACAGAAGGTGATATTTAAAAGCTTGATTGCAATAACAGTATTACCTGCTCGATAATCTTATGCGTGGACTCGTTCTTTAGCGATGCGATCAGGCCGACACCGCACGCTCCGTGCTCTTTAAGGAGCTCCTCCGCGTCCGCCACCTGCGGGTATCCATAACGACGCAAGACATGCATAAATCAACAAAATTGAGATGCCACGCGAGACGGTTCCTCATTCGAAGCTCACAACAGTAGCGTACAAAACAGCTGCATTTCAAAAAGGTCTTGTGGCCTACTAATATTTACCAAAGATCGACAGAATAAGGTAAAACAATTTGCAAATCGCACAGTCGCCAACTTAGACGAAGGGGAAAACCTACCTCATAGGCCTTCTCGACGTCATGCGTCGCAACATTTGCCGTCGTGTACGCAGCAGTCGCACGCGACAAGTTGAAGCGACGGCTTGCGACATTGGCCGTATCGCGGACGGTCACGCGTCTGCAGACAGCAGCACCGGAGAGAAACCTAGACCTTGCGTGCACTGCCACAGATGCTCCGAAAAACGACGACGCCTTTCCTCCCTTCTTCCCGCTAGTCGTCTGAAGATCGGCTAGAGACTGAGTACCTCGCGCGAGCAACACTGACTGCTTTAATACCGCTGTCGCCATGGACGGTGACAGATAAGTGCTCGGTCAGGTTTAGGCGAGCGTCGGTGTTCGTGCAGTGAATTCAGCCGTCAGAGAGAAAGCAGCCCTGTGGGCCTTGCGGGAGCTTGTGTTACAGCAGAGCAATCTGTAGGCAAGCACGCAGGCTAGAAAAATCGAGTAGAGGAAAGTGTTTGCGCTTTATCTTGCTGCCAGGAATGAAGGATGCTGATGGTTGATGGGAGCGGAGTGGAATGAGAAGAGGCAGACCTTGGGGATTTGGATTGGCTCGGTTGAGGAAGGGGAAGCTTGGGATTGGTGGCTTTATTGTTTGGCTTTGAGCCTTGGGATCTGTGTGGTGGTAACGTGCTGCCATCGGGGTTGGTGTGAAAAGCTTCGGGATTGGATGAATTTGACGGCGAGGCAGGCAATTGTGACAATGTTCGACTCTCTTGGCAAATTTCAGGAATTGAGGTCAGTTTCAATAGGAGTGTACAGCGCGTACATGCACACAGATATGTCCTCTCATTGGTGGTATTAACGCCATCGTGGCGTACCTCGAGTGGTTTGACTGGCCACGAGGAGCTCAGCTACACGCGCCTCCAGTAATTTTCCAAGCAAGGGGTCATATTGACGTGGCGATGCAGATAAAGGCTCATGATGTATCGGATTCGTTACGCAGGTCGCATTTGGATCATCCAATCTGGTAGGTTCTGATCCACACGAATGTGAAGACTTGTACTCTCCCCTATAGAATTCCTCACTTTGTGTTACACGCTCAATACTGTCATAAGCTGTGTGTCGACCAGTGCCTCTCCACCAACCCCCCCAGGATGATTTTATCAGGGTAATTACCCTGATTTCAGGGTGATTTCAGGATTTCCACTTTGCGGAGCCTGAAATTTCAGAATTACTGAAATCTCAACCCTGTTCAAATCAGAGTAATAGTTTTCCTATCCCTGATTTTCAGTATAGTGTAACAGACTAGCATATTAGTGGACCCTGAATTAATAGGGTATCGAATATGTGATCCATGATTTGACCTTATGGAGAGGAAGTTTCTCGGAACTTCTCTTCCGATATCCCCCTTCGAATTGATCGCAGCACAGTTAGCGCGTGAGCGACGGACAGCAGCATGTCTGACAGGCGAGTACACTCGATGTTCGTTACTTTCACGTTTTGCGAATAAGTTGTTATATTGTCGTAATTGCGTGTGCGTGAGGTTATTAGAACCTTTTTGCGTTTCGCACAGCGATATTGGCGACATTCAGGAACTCCGCAAATTAAAAGCTTGGCACATCTGTGGTAGCAAATCGAAATGTTTGGTTGACCGAAATCGCTCATCTCTTTCCTGCACTAAAATGTTTGGACAAATACTAGTTCCCTAAAACTAAACGGGTAAAAATTAGCGCGCTCAAAGTGTGCGCGAAACACAGAGCGCAGACTTTTCGCAGAGTGAGACTTTTTCCTCTCTAACAAAGGGTGCGTTACTACTCTGATCTTCGATTTTCGACCCTGAACAATCAAAGTTATATACTTTTCAACCCCAAGAGATCAGGGTAGCATCATTCTGAAAAATGTGCAGTCATAATAGAGGGAAAAAAATCTCCCCGAAATCAGGGAGGCCTAATATGAAACGTCAGCCCTGCGCAAAAACCATAAGTACCCCGCACGCAATGCCTCTCTTCTCCTTACCCGTGCATGCCCGTCACTTATCTCCTGTTTGCAGCATGCCTCACCAGGGCCCTAGATATCAGACTTCGGAATCTGATTCAGAGTCCGTTCAGACTTTTTGTTTTGTGAAAGAAAGAACGAGAATGAATGAACTATGAATGAAGTGAGTACAAATATGAAACCCTAATTGGGTTGTACCCCCTATGGGATACCCCACTATAGCCTACACAAATAAGTAAGCTATAATGTTCTGACACACCCCCATAGGCAAAGTGGGGGAGAACAAGGGGTCACAAGACCAGTCAAGCAAAGCAAAGCAAAGCTCAGGGTGGATCACAAAGTCACCACACATTCCGAGCACAAGGTCAAGGGCCACAAGGCCAGTTCACATGCAAGATCATATATAGAGATATACAAGAGTCAAGCAAACAAGAGCAAGAGTATATATAGGTCAAGGTACAAGCAAGGTCAAGAAGTGAGCAAGTGAGGCAAGACAGGCACAAGACCCAGCTGCGTGCAGCAACGCTGATGATCACAAGGCGCAAGTGCCTTGGTGAAGACATCAGCAGTGTTGGTCTCAGAGGCCACGTACGCAAGTCGCAACTGTCCACGCTGCTATAGCTCACGAGCAAGAAAGTAGCGGAGAGCAATGTGCTTTGTCCTGTGCTCCAGTCGCTGCTCTCGACACAAGGCCAGCATGGCCTTGTTGTCTACGTACAGGACTGGAGGAGAACGAGGCGGCTCTCCAAGGTCGGTCAGCAGGTAGGTGAGCCAGCGAAGCTCCTGAGCAGCCATAGCCCCGGCGTAGATCTCAGCCTCACAACTGGAGCCGAGAACAGAAGACGAGCGGGTAGCCCGCCACGAAACAGAGCCGGAACCAAGGCTGAAGGTGTAACCCTGTGACGACCGCTGCGTAGCCTGGTCGTCAGCCCAAGAAGCGTCCGCGTGCCCTGTGAGGACCACTGGACTGCGCCCTCCAAGCACTAGCCCCATGCCCGACGTACTGCACAAGTAGCGCAACACCGTCTTCGCTGCAGCCATGTGCTCTGGTCGGTGTCTCCCAGGAGCAACATAGCGTGCGAGAATGCTAAGAGGGTATGCAAGGTCAGGTCGTGTGCAGGTCATCAGGTACATGAGGCAGCCAACAAGCTCTGCATACGGGCCACTCGACTCTACGGACTCATCCAAAGGCAGAGCTGAGAGCGAGTGACGAGTGTCAAACATTATATATGTTATGCTTGTGTAGGCTACAGTGGGTTAGCCTATAGGGGGTACACAATTCTAGGGTTTCCTACTTGTACTCATTTCACTGCTAGTTCATTCATTCCTGTTCGCTTATTCTCACATGGTATAGAGCGGGTCCTTCTACGGACCGTTTTTTTGGGCCCACCGAAGCGCCCCCCGAGGCGCGATCTTTTTTTTAGCGACCCCTCGGGTCGCCATTTCCCCTGCGGCCCCGCCGCCTTCACTGACGCGGCCCCGCCGCCCTCTCTGTCGCGGCCCCGCCGCCTGCTCTCACGCGGCCCCGCCCCGGCTCCTTCGCGGCCCCGCCGCCTGCTCTCGCGCGGCCCCGCCCCGGCTTCTACGCGGCCCCGCCCCGGCTTTCACGCGGCCCCGCCGACGGCTTTGTCGCGGCCCCGCCCAGGCCCTTACGCGGCTCCGCCGCCTGCTCTCACGCGGCCCCGCCCCGGCTCCTTCGCGGCCCCGCCGCCTGCTCTCGCGCGGCCCCGCCCCGGCTTCTACGCGGCCCCGCCCCGGCTTTCACGCGGCCCCGCCGACGGCTTTGTCGCGGCCCCGCCCAGGCCCTTACGCCGCTCCGCCGCCTGCTCTCACGCGGCCCCGCCCCGGCTCCTTCGCGGCCCCGCCGCCTGCTCTCGCGCGGCCCCGCCCCGGCTTCTACGCGGCCCCGCCCCGGCTTTCACGCGGCCCCGCCGACGGCTCTGTCGCGGCCCCGCCCAGGCCCTTACGCGGCCCCGCCGCCTGCCCCCGTCGCGGCCCGGTCACCTCCTGACGGCCCCGCCGTCCCTTTGTGACGGCCCCGCCGTCCCTTCCTGACGGCCCCGCCGTCCCCTCCTGACGGCTCCTGCCGTCCCCTTCTACCGGCCCCGCAACTGCACCTGCTGGCCCCGCCGCTGCACCTACCGGCCCCCCCACCACCCAACCCCCCTTTTCCCGTCGCCCGTCGCGGCTCCTTCGGGGGCCGCAAGCGGCCCCCTCAGGTCGCCTCGACAGGCGACCTGAGAGGCCCGCAGAGGGGTGGCGGGTGTGTGGCCTCCCCTGCTTCTCCTCCTCCTTCATCTCCCACTGCAGCAGCCGAGCCGCCCCACCGCCGAGCCGCCGGGTCGCTGAGCTGCTGAGCTGCAGTTGCTGCCGAGCCGCCCTGCCGCCGAGCCGCCGAGTCACCGAGCTACTGAGCTGCAGTTGCTGCTGAGCCGCCTTGCCGCCGAGCCGCCCGAGTCGCCCGAGCCGCCGAGCCGCCGAGCTGCCGAGCCGCTGAGTCGCCGAACCTACTCTTCCCACCACTGGTGAGCTCTTGCCCTGCTAGCACGCTGCGCGTCGCCTGCTTGCCTGCCTGCCTGCCTTTTGGCTTGCCTGGCTGCCTGCCTCCCTGATGCTAGTCCTGCTCCTGCTTCTACTTGCGGAGCCAAATGCAGCCCCAGCGACGCCGGCGTGAGTCCCTCACGCCGCAGCAGCTGCGTGAGTGGTACGCTGGTTGGGGCTGTAGGGGTGGCGACGCTACTCCTACTACCACTCCTGCTGCTTCTACTCGTGGTGGCGGCCAGATGCAGCTCCCGCGACCCTCTCGCATGTCTCTCACGCCTCGCCAGCTTCGTGAGTGGTACGCTCAGAGTGGAGGGTCTCTCAGTGCTGTTCGCTGCTCTTACGTGATTCGCACTGGTACTCGGACTGGTCAGCCTTGTGGGACACGTAGTCATACACCGTCCCGCTGCTTCGCCCGTCTGAGCGACGCCTGGCGTACCGTGTTTGGCGACGAGGCTGAGCTTCCCGACTGGGTGGAGTTGCTTAGGCAGAGGGTAGATATATATGCTCTTGACTATGATGCTATTCTCACTGCCATGTATGCATTGCCTACTAGTGCTGACCGTGCAGGTCACCTGTGCGTCCCGCCTGACCCAGGTATAGGACCTGCTGCTCTAGCTACTGGTGAGGCTGCTGCTCTGGGTGCTAGTGAGTCTCCTGCTCCAGGTACAGGTGCGGCTGCTGCTCTAGGTGCTAGTGAGTCTGCTTCCTCAGCCTCTCGTGGTGACCCTCGCACCCCCATCTTTGAGGGGTGTTCTCCTTCCCCCCTGCTGCCCTCTGTTGCCTCTGCTGCTGCTGCCGACCTGCTT